TACCGCTATGGGGCGCACTAACTCTTCCTAACTTCGGTGCTGGGGATGGCAAGTTAACTTTATCGCTACTAGATTAATATACATACTGTATATTATACAGCATGGAATAAACCCTTTACTTGTTCCTTTACTGTATATTATATATATCTAGATAACAGTCCTAGACATTTCTCAATATAGACTTTATCACTGAGCATTCCTCCATATTTCTATAATATGTGTGTTACTTATTGCTTCCGGAGACAGTCTTAAGGTATGGGTAGTGAGAAATCATTTATTATCAAGGAATTTGCTCGGCACATTTTCTCACCCCAGGCTGTAGTGTGTGTTTTTCTCTGGGCGTGAGAAGCAGGAGTGTCTTGTCATGTGCTTGTGGACAGAGCGAGGTGTCTTCGCTGTGCTGTAGGGTGAGTAAGAGGCGCAGCTCTGACAGAAGCGGAGTCAGCGCTCAGTGCGAGATTGCTTCTGCGAAGCGCCACGGGTTCGATGCTTTCCCCTGGAGCCCAGCAAACAGAATAACCATTGTTCTGGAGCTTTCCGTGAGCTCACGATTCACTAGAACATGACAAACGACTCAAAACTCAGGTTCTGCAGGATTCAGGCGGAGCCGTTGCCCTGTTCCCACCCAGCCTGTGGGAAAGAGGCGAAGACTGACCTCCTGTTATTCCTGTTGTGATTGTGGTTTTTTTTTCTAAAAACTCAAACTACTTTTTTTTTTTAAACGTGGAACCTCATATTAAAAGAGTCCGAGTTTCCCCTTTGCTCGTTCTGCCCTTTGCTAAACCAGCTTATCAGGAAGGTACAAAGTCCTGGTTTATTTTGTCTTGAGAGCAGCGGGTGGGAGAGCATTGTTTCATCACATTTGTTAGGTTTCACATGAAACCTCTTGAAAGTTTGACAAAAGCTGTTAAATATAAAACGTGACTCGGCACCTTATCAGCTGTTTTTGTTTGTTCAGCGATCTCTCAGTGCAGTAATTAAAAGAAAAAAACAATAAATGACTGTAAGAAGTCCCTGAACGAATATGAATCACTACATATTTGGCGTCCCTGAACGGCTATGAATCACTACAACCCTTACTATAAAAAAAGAAACCCAAGGGATTTTAAATACATATACACACTTCTTACAGTAGTTCAAATAGGCAGGCTGCGTCAGCATGCGTAGCCTGCAAAGCAACAAGTAAAGTTTTATTCCCTGCTGAAAAGAGAAGAGAAGAAACAACATTTCAGCTGTGGAGCCTTCTTCCACACCCAAAGAAGGCTCCACAGCCGAAACGTTGTGTTTCTTCTCTTTTCCGCAGGGAATAAAACTTTACTTGTTGCTTTGCAGGCTACGCATGCTGACGCAGCCTGCCTATTTGAACTACTGTAAGAAGTGTGTATATGTATTTAAAATCCCTTGGGTTTCTTTTTTTATAGTAAGGGTGCTCATTTTTCATGTGGATGAAAACCATTCGGATAATCTCGGGCCACACTGATCGTTCTCAAATCGGTGCAGGGCTAGGTCTCTGTGCCAAGCTGGCAATTATTCTGAGCCAGTTCATCTGGGGGCAGGGCAGCTGCTAGCTCTGCTGCTCTAGCGTGTGTCCGTTTCCTGCTGGTGCTCCCCTGGCCCCCCAGTTTCCTATGACACGACCCATTCCATGACGCTGGCTCAAGGGCTGCCATGGCTCTTTCCCTGGGGCTGGCAGCTGTCCAGATGTGGGTAGGTGTGTGAGTGAATGTGGTCTGAGTGACCACACTTCCTCTCACAGCCTCTAGGACACCTCTCACGGCTGCAGTGCATTCCCCTCTGTAACATTCTTCCTCTTTTCCTCTTGTCTTTTCAGACCTGGATCACACAGCGGATGTCCAGTAAGTTTCCCTTCCTGCCTGTAGTGTACAGATACCTTACTTTATGTTTTGCCTCTTGCATTTAAACACAGTACGTCTATTGTGTTCTATATACAGTGATAAGTTTCCTTATCTCTTCTGCTGTGGAACATATTCCAACTTGACTCACAGTCCTGTCATAAATCATACTTCAGATTAATCTTCTGACTTGGACCGTTTTGCTAAGTGAGGAGTAGAGCTCTGTTCAGGAGATCATCTTTGTAGTTTGCAAGAGGCTAGAGCTTGTGTGCTGAGCCGGGTCATTCCGGGTCTTAATGATATAAAAGGTATTGATTTGTATGCATTTGTGCGTGTGACTCTTCTCTGCGCAGGATCCACTCCTGGGGCGACACTCTGGAGGAGGCGTTTGAGCAGTGCGCCATGGGGATGTTTGGGTACATGACTGACACTGAGACAGTGGAGCCGATCGACACAGTGGAAGTGGAGTCGGAGGGTGAGGCTCAGCTTCAGGTTTTCAGCTCAGCAAGAGGCTGGCTTCGCCTGTGGGTCGTGGCTCCTTGTTAACTGATTCACCATTTCTTTCTGATCTGTATAAGCCTGTATAATCCACAAACACATGCCGGCACTCTACCTGTATAATATAGTAATTTTTGTGTGTGATTTTTTTGTTTTCTCTGGGAAATAACACTGAACCTGTGAATTGCCACAGTGTTGTTTCAGGAGTAGGAATATTGCAGCTTGTTGTCTACCTGTTTCTTTGAAAATATGCGGCTGTGAGAGTTTTTTTTCCCAAAAGAAGTATAGTTAATTTATTGTGGCAGAGGAATATTAATATAATCCCAGACCTTTTGGAAGTGAGGTATCTGTGAAGTGTTGAATTGTGTTCGGTGGACCAGTAGGTGGCACTGTGGGCTGAAAATGCCCAGCCAAGCTCCTGCTCTGGTGGCAGTGAATGCAGGGCTTCAGAAGGCTCTGCTTTTTCTCAAGACATATTGTGAGACGTTACAGTTCACACAGGAGGGTGCTGGAGGTGTAAAGCCACATTCCTCGGAAACAGGTCTGTCCACTTAGGTGTCATTATAAAATCCAGAACAAGTGGTGAAATGGAGCTGAAACTGAAAAAGAATGGCTAAATATTTCAAGTGTGGTTATGCAAATGTATTTTCATATCTTCAGACCACGTCAGAAAAATGCAAAAACTACGCTGCTCTTCAGTCTTCAACAGAGGAGATTAGAAGGGGATTTAGTGCTAAAAATGTTGAGAAATTGAACTCAGTGGGTTACATTGTGCTCAGCAGTGGAACAAGCACTAGAGGACACGGGTGGAGGTTCATATAGTACAAACTGTATTTAAAATTGAGAACAGGCATTTTCTCTTTACGCAAGCAGTGGTGGGTGCATGAAACAAGCTGCTCAACCTGCCGCAATGTTGGTACCCCTCAAGAACAGGCTGGATGACTCCCTGGGATCGCTTAGTAGCTTAGAAGCCAAATGAGCACAAGGGGTCACAGTTTCTCTGCTTTTCTGCGGCCTTTCTTTTGTTCTTCAAGTTCACAAACGAAATGAAATGTAGTTAAAAATTGGTTCCACAAAACCACATTCTGAAGATGTTTTTGCAGTTTAGAGTTAAAGGGACGTTTTGGTTTTGCTGATGTGAACTGGCTGAAAATATCTGTTTTCTGTATTTCTTCCCTTTTTCAGGTGAAGACCTTCTCTCTCTTCTCTTCCACTTCCTGGATGACTGGCTGTTTAAATTTAGCGCAGATCAGTTCTTCGTCCCAAGGGTAGGTGAGAATTGGACTGACCTGACTCCTGTTTCACTATATGTTCCTTAAAGGCAGGTGATATAAGATTATTATAAGAATACATTTTATATGAGGCATTTTCCTATTCAATACTATGCAGGTAATATACCTTGAGGACACAGTCCTAAGGACAGTCTTTCTGAATCTGTTTTACATGGTCTAGGGTTTTAGCACTTGTGTGTTTTTAGATTGGCAGTGCTCAGTATCTTGTAGTACATGGTTTAGACTGAGCTGTTTGTGGTGGATTGCACAATTCTTTACTTCATTATCCACAATGAGGAGGGGATCTCTCCTCATGGGATTTTATGTCACTAAGCGTTTAAAACACCTTGCCATCTAAGCAAGTGCTGGAGATGAGACCTGTAGGCATTACCTATTAACCATGTACAGAATAAGAGTTTTTATTACTGTGTCACACCTTGTTTAATGACTCATACACGTAGACCTTATTAGTGAAACAATGTGTGGTATGCATTACTAGTGGTTAAGGTGGGTAGCTGCGTCTGCATGTGTAGGCTGCAAAGGAACAAGTATAGGTTTATTCCCTGCTGAAAAAAGAAAGAAAACACAACATTTCGGCTGTGGAGCCTTCTTCAGGCTTCACTTATTACTTCCTAGTGACTACAGGAAATGAAATATGTTAGGCTAGTGTATTTGGAAATAAGGGCCTAGTTAAGATTTATACAGGACCAAGTGAATAGGTAAATGTTCATTCCGTGCTGAAAGGCAAAGAAAGAAACACAAAGTTTTGGCTGTGGAGCCTTCAGCACACACCTAGGGAAGAGTTCACAGCTCAAATGTTGTATTTCTTTCTATTCAGCAAGGAATAATCCTTTACCCGTTCCTTTGCAGCCTACACATGCTGACACAGCGTTCTACTTGATTTATAATTATTAATAATTGCTTACACTTATATAGCGCTTTTCTGGACAGTCCACTCAAAGTGCTTTACTGGTAATGGGGACTACCCTCCACCACCACCGGTGTGCAGCCCCCCCATGGATGATGCGATGGCAGCCATAGTGCACCAGAACGCTCACCACACATCAGCTATTAGTGTGCAGGAGAGCAGAGTAATGAAGCCAATTCATAGGGGGTTATTAGGAGGCCACGATTGGTAAGAGCCAATAGGAAATTTGACCAAGACGCCGGGGTTACACTCTGGGATTTTTAATGACCACAGAGAGTCAGGACCTCAATTTTACGTCTCATTCGAAGGATGGCGCCTGTTTACAGTATAGTGTCCCTGTCACTATACTGAGCCATTAGGACCCACATGGACCACAGGGTGAGCGCCCCCTGCTGGCTCCACTAACAACTCTTCCAGCAGCAACCTTAGTTTTTCCCAGGAGGTCTCTCATCCAGGTAGTGACCAGGCTCAGACCTGCTCAGCTTCAGTGGGCTGCCAGTGGCGAGCTGCAGAGTGATATGGCTGCTGACTTGAGTGTCTGTTATACAGGGGTTGTCCATTACGAAACTGGAATTGTATCACAATGTAAAGAACTAACACATGGCTTAGACGTTGATCTTATAACAAAATGCAAACCAGAATTAAATGCCTCAGCAGCCACACCTGGGTGCCTTGCATTGCTTTAAAATTAGCATTTGAAATAAACAGTTTAACCTGACTCAGTGGGAAAAAAGGGGATAAGAGCACATTACGACACACAGCTGCTGATGACCACACCGTGTCTCTGTGGCTTGGATTTGGAAAGCTTTTTGGAAAACCGGGGCATCCATTCTCGACACCTTTTTTTGTTCTAGGAAGTGAAGGTGCTTCACATCGACCGGATGCGTTTCAGGATGCGTTCCATTGGGTAAGATCTGAGGCTCCCCTGTCCTTCGAAATCGATAAAAATGACTCTGTTCTTGTCTGCGTTTAAAGGCTTTGGAGCCAGAAATCAAGGCCTTGAGATAAGCTGCATGATCTAATTTTCGAAAACTG